TAGTTCCGGGTTACATCCCTGCTTCCGGCGACAGTCTAGTTCCGGGTTATATCCCTGCTTCCGGCGACAGTTTTGGTCAAAATCGGCAAGGTGGCCGGGCGGTTAAGAATCGGCTACAGCCCAATTAGGCCTTATTAAAACTACTATGCTACATTAAATGGAATTCCCTCGTTCGCTACTCGTACACGTAAGATTAAAAAACTTACAAGTACCGTAGTAGTAGAAGAATGGTTTGCTAGCGCTCCAGCTAACAAGCTATTTGGCACCGGAGGTAAAAAAGATAACATCGCCAGCAGGTCGGCAGATTTCAATTATTCTAAGTCTCAAATTGATCATCACCCACAAAGGGCAGGAGATCTCGGATGTCCAGCCCGCTGAAGCTGGCTCGAAAGAAGCAGCGTTAGCATCTCAAAGAGACGAAGTGACAAGGAGGGACAGGTGAAAAGCAACAGAAGAAGACACTCGAACAAGAGGTCGCTTACACGGGACGTCGGCCGCCCGACCGAGAGAGACAGACATTTAACTCGTCAGAAGAGATTTGCAAAACTCCAGTCAAATTTAAATCCTTAACTGAGAAATCACAGCCTCACTGAATTTGCAGCTTATGTAAAACTATAAATTATTATGATGTACACACCAATTACGATCGCAAACTTCAAACCAATATTTTGCTCGTCTACATTTAGACATATATTCCTGAAGCAGGAAAAATCTTAGATATTCTAATCTAGAAGCATGAGTGAAGTTCAATACAAATGGTCATGAAATCGAAAGCACCTGCTGACAGCATCAATTCACCACACCAGAAAGTCACCAGCAGCATCCATACACCGAATCGGAACGACTAGCCCACGATCAAAGCGCCTGGCATCATATCAGCCTACGGTCAAACCGTCTGACATCAAATCAGCCCAAGATAAAATGTTCCAAGATCTAAAAGGACAGCAAGAACATTGCACGGGGGCAATAGAGCGCTGGACAATATGCATGATGGACGTATACCTGTACCTGAAATTTCTTTTATTCGAACTATAAAAAAATACACATGTCTGGAAACCAAGCTTAGTAATCTGCAACTCAACATATTATTTTGAGCTGCTAGGAACGGATTTTGATTCAATCACGGGGTTCCCCAAAAACATGTGATGTTAAGTTACTATTGCTCCTTTCACGAACCAGAGCGCACTTGCATTAAATGTATGGAGCATCAGAGACCATCAACATTCTTTGAATAGAAGTCGCTCTCAGGTGAAGTCTGCTCATCTTTAACTTCGGTCTTGATCTCCATCTTTACTTTGACGTCAGCGCTCTCAGGTGACGAGGGCTCCTTCTTGACGTCCATATCCATAGGTTCTTGCTTGATGAAGTTCATGACTTCAGTTTTGTCATCAGGAAGAGTAGCTGATCCACTAGTGGCTGCCGGGACAGAAGAAGAGCTTGTCATTGTGGAGGTACATGGCGAGGAAGACTGGAGGCTCAAGTTGCTGCTGTCGATAACAGCAGGGCTGGACGAAGCGGCTATATTAGGAGCTTGAGAGATGTGTGACAGCGAAGTGTTTGAGATGTCACCTCCGCTGCACGCAGCAACTTTTATAGGAGCAGAAATAGGGATGTTGGGGACATTCATGGCGGTTGATGTGTAAGGTGGGGGCGCGAGCTGCGGTCTGAGGGAGTTGTTCACAGAGGGAGCCATGGTGCTGCCGCCTCCATGGAAGCTGGACGTGCAAGATGGACCCATCAACGAACATGGAGGAATATAAACGGAGAAAGAGTGACTACCGGGAGCACCACAAGCGTTCATGGACTTCACCATGATAGAACCCATGGGTCTGACACACTGTTGTTGTTGCTGCTGTGATATCGCGGAGTGGCCGAATGGGCTGAGGCCCGAGGAAACAGGGAAGGGCCCTCTTGAGTGTGTGCCCACGGCGACAGCGTTCACAGGACCGATCATGGACTGGGGTGGAGGAGCAGTGGATCCATCAATGGCAGGCTGGCCTTCTCGAGGAAACTGGCGGCGCTGCATGCGTTTCTCATGGAGTTCCTTCTCGATCTTGTATATCTTCTCAGCCACAAGATGGTAGTATTCCGGCTGTGGAAATAATGAAATTTGTTATTATTTGCTTAACAGAGCGGTGTGAATAATTGCAAATTGTAAAAATGAGTAAGAATTTAGAAGTTTCTACTTGGGTAAATTTTATGCATCTTAAAGCCTGAGCTAGATAATCAGAATAGGACAATACGAGTACAATTAGGTTTCTAAAATAAAATCAGCCCAAAAATGAAGTAACATTAACGTCAACAGACAGCGCGACTCAACAAATGTCAAACTAAAACATGCAGGCTGACTGACCCTTGAGCTTGCCACATTGAACATGTCGCCCTCGACCTTTCTGGCATAGTTGACCAGGTTCTGCATCCTTCGGTCCTGCAGTGTAATGGGGTCTGGTCTAGGCAGAATGGCTTGCACGCTGCAACAAATGCACCTTGTGGTTATATCAAATATAATTGACAAATATGACTTAATGGCATCTATTTTTCACTAGGTCTAAATGGCTGAGAACCAGAAGAACATGAACAGGTAAAATACCATAGATTAAATTCTACAACACAGCCATTGTGAGACTTTCAAATCTCAATGCTGCAGCATTAGACTGCTGACCGACTACTTGTTCACATTTCTTACATAAGAATTAAGCCAATAACATTGACAAAAATTGAAAATTTTGATCACTGAGACATGAAAAGTAATTATACTAAGCTTCCTTTATTACCACATTCCAGTCCTGGACAAAAACAATTGCTTATTCCAAACTATGACATTATATTTTGCATCAGGTGCTGTTATAACCAATGATGCTCACATTCTCTGCACGATGTGGTTACGCAATTCACTAGTGATGCTGTGGTGCCACTCCTTGGTGCCTTCTGAGTGGCGTGCCGTCACCACCATGCTGCCAGGGAGCTGCCCAGGATGGTTGGGTAAATTCAACCAAGACTCCGCCATGCTTGGAGTCATTGCGCCCTGCAACCACAAATCAAAATCTGTAAGTTTTTTGCCCACATGCAGTCTAACAGAAAAACTGCTTCATAGCACTTTTGCCACTGAGCCTCAAAATCTACTCCTTGAAACTAGATAGCAGTCTTCAAACTGCAAATATATTATATAAACAACAAATATTAATTTTAATAATTCAACTTCTGTGGAAGAAATAAATGTATTTATAATTTTATACATGACACTTCTCCCTCATGTGCTAACACTGACTGCTACTCACCATTGAGGAGGAAACGTTGGGCAGCTTTGGAGCGCCCACAACCATGTTCGATGTAGCATTTGGTGACATGAGGTTGAGTTGATGTCCTGCCGGCAGAGTTTGGCGGTGACCAGGGCTCAGGGAGTGGATGAGCTGCGGCCCGATTTGCTTTTGTTGCTGCTGCTGTTGTTGTCGACGGCCAGTCATGCCCGGAGCAGCAGCAGCATTGGCAGCCATGTTGTTATTATTGTTTGGATTTTGTTTATTTTTATCAGTGGTCTTGACAGGCTCACAAATCGGACATTCCAGACGTGCACAATTCTTCCAGTGAGAAATGATCTGACGAGATGAAGCGCAGTGCGGCACGAGGCACGTCTTGCCGGCTTGACACATCGTCATGTGCGACAGGACGTTTTTCATCGTCTGGCAGTGTGGCAGGTTGCACTGAAACATGAGAACAATGTTACCACTAATGTTAGGTTAGGAACTTAGATGCTAAAATGGTCAAAGGTTAGGTACTTAGATGCTAAAATGGTCAAAAGTTAGGTACTTAGATGCTAAATTGGTCCAAGGTTAGGTACTTAGATGCTAGAATGGTCGAATGTTAGGTATTTAGATGCTTAAATGGTCAAAGGTTAGGTACTTAGATGCTAAAGTGGTCAAAGGTTAGGTACTTAGATGCTAAAATGGTCAAAGGTTTAGGTAGGTACTTAGATGTTAAATGGTCAAAGGTTAGATACTTAGATGCTAAAATGTCAAAAGTTGGGAACTTGATGCTAAAATGGCCCCTGAATAACCACTCAGAAAAAGTATATCACCTGTCTGATGTCTCCATTGCTCTGCTCTTTGCGCTGACACTTGTCTGCATGCAGGAGCAGCACCAGCTGCTGCTGGATGAGCTTACGCTTCTCAGGGTCTGCTGCTGCTCTGGGCTGTGCGACAACACCAGGGGCAGCTGGTCCACCCTGCACCCCATCAGGTCTGTTGGGCACCGCAGAAATGGTTGGCACCATGGGGCCCCCACCTCCTTCCATCACTGGGGACATGCCACCAGTGTTTGCGTTTGTATGTACATCCAGTTGTTGTATCTGCTCCAGCTGTTCTTGTATTTGCTTCAGCTGTTGTAATATCTTATGCGTCTGTTCTACAAGCTGGCCCAATGCTGCCGAGACAACATAGATTCATTATATTATTAGATTCAATAGATTGTCATTATATTATTACTATTTTTTTAAACATTAAGATAATTTTACATTCTATGTTTGTTTGATATTCATGACTATTGTTTTTGCTCATGACAACATATCCAAAGCTGAAGTATATTGAGACAAAATACTAGAACAGTTGAACAGCAATGGAGTTTAGGTAGCACTATACTTACACATTATGGAGCCAAGCCAGGCAAGTAACAGCTTCTCCGGAGCATCAATTAGAGCTTTTGTAAGAACTTTAGTCCAAATAATAATAAATAATATTCATAATTATGAGTCTGGAAAGAGAAGAGCACAAGTGAGTATATATAATGTAAGTGCCAGTCACACAAATAATAATTAAAAGTCAGGCAACACCAGTAGAGCATATTAAAGCTATTATAGAGCATAGCAGCAAACAAGAGGCTGTTTAGTTGCCCTCCCTGCATGTGTCCTATGAGTAGATTAGATAAGTAACATGGATACCAGCATCATTAATAGATATTCAATATAATTTTGAAGCAGATCAGGTAATTAAAATGAACTTGTTTCTAAAAATCCCTTGTTTGCTAGTGGCCACTGGTTATGGATACTAAAATATTCAGCATAATTTGCCAAAAATTATTTATTTATGGCAAATTAAGGATGAAGAGTTAGGTATATTAAAAAGTATATACAAGGTTATTATGTATTGGCTTTATTTTCATCCATGAGCCACTGATGATGATGTAATTTAATAAATTTAGGAATTAATGAATACTCTTATTTTCTTCGTAATGATCTAGAAAAGTACAGTAGTCCATTAATTTATGCTATGTTCATTCTAATATTTATATTTTATTTAATATTTATTCTAAAATAACTAGTACCTCTATAGTCAGATGGGGTAAGACAGGACCGAAATCACTAACAGGCATGTAGCATCTATACCATGAATAACTAAAAAACCCTAAACCTATCACAAGGTGTATCTATGCAATGGGCTTCTAAGCTACAACTCAGACGTTTTGCATCTAACATAGTTTTCTGTACAGATTAAAAGAAGTGAGCTGGTCCCATCTTACCCCACTGGGGTAAGATGGGACTGGGGCTGGGGTAAGACAGGACCAACTGATAATTCTTATGTTACAAGGTTTTTAATAAAAGTGCAAATCTGATATTCAATATTATCAATCTAGAAACACATTATTTGATTAAACAACCACTTGTTACTGTTTTGTGTTGCGGGAAGTCAACACTAATATCAGTCACATTGGAGTTTTTGTCATGAGAAGACTTTGTTAAGCATAGTAATAGTGGGTTGGCTTTGGTTCATTGTAGAGCACTGCTAAATGCTTCATGTATATTCCATTAGTGTCATTGTCTGAAAAATTTATAAAATTAGTATTAAAACCAATGGATAATAACTCAAGTGTCAGACGTCATGTGTTTTCTTGCTAACTGTATTTGTGGTGCACTTCTTCTACTGTAGCCCATGCCCTCTCATAGAGTTGTGATCATAATTATTTTTCATGTTTCACAGAATGATTTTTCCCCCAGCCAATCTTGCACATAGTTCTGCAGCTCACTAATGGGAAGAGACAACCCTATTTTCTCTATCCATTTGATGCAATTTAAAATAGTGCACTAAATTTCTCTAATTAAAGCTAACAAGCTATAATGAAGTTTGAGCCATAGATAAAATTATTGACCAAAATACTCCATGTACTGCACAATAATATATTCATATAAAAACTATTTTTGATAAACTGTACCTAGGGTAATAGAGGATCATTTTTATGGTCCTCTATTCCTGGTACCTAGGGTACCAGGACCATTTTTGGGGTAAGATAGGACTGCTTGTGGGTTAAAACAGGATCATTTAGTGGTCCCGTCTTACCCCATGTCCAGTCCTTTTTTACCCCATTTTAGAATACATGTCAGGCAGTGATGGTAGCAGGTAGGAATGCCTAGTATGTCTCAAAAATTGCTTATTACTTGAGGTTACCTGCCTACATCCATAAATCTGGCCAAAAAATTTTTTGTCATTAGACAGAGCTTGTTTCCCAAACAGGGTTAACTATTTTATGACCCTTCTTTACATACATTTTCTTTAAAAATTAGCCAGAAATTCATTATTTGCAGAAGAGGGTTGAAACAAACACTAAAATGACAGGCAACAACTGCACTAACATATTCTTTTATCAAATTAATTTCAGTGCAATTAGAATGCATGCCATGAGCTGGTCCTTTCTTAACCTATGAAGGCTGCGATCCTGTCTTACCCCATTTGACTATATTTGATATTTAATGTTGCTGTGGTGATCTTTGAGCAAGGTTAAAAATGTAATTTAGTTCTTTTTACATAAACTTGGTACAGAGAAAACATATAAAAAAATTTATGACTCTTGGTATGTGTTCAAAATTTCAAATATAGTATAGGCCAACTAAAATAGTCATATCTATATATACAACACGCAAATTTATATATTTCAATGTTGGAGTGGTAATATTATAGTGGTGCTCAGTAAGCTTGCACAAAAATGGAAGACTAGCTCCTGAGTCCTTGGATATTGAAACAAATGATGAATGTGGTCAGAATGGGTCACATTCGGGAAGGCATGAGACATGGCAAATATCAAACAATTCACTCTAACGCTAACAAAACACAAAATAACAGAAACATCAGAAATTTAAAAGTGGTTTCAATCAAAAACTAGTGGTGGTTTCAGTTCAGACCAATCAGTGGTATGAGTGCAATGCTCTAAGTTCTAACAGGTGGACAACCAGTTCTAACAGGTGGATCAGCTGCTATACTTCTTTTTTACTTTTTTTTATCTCTTCTTCTTCTTGCCACACATTTCCTACTACACACAGCAATCCCCCAATTGTGGCCTTTTCCTGTGTGTATCATTAGTGTTTAAAACCATCTTACATTAGTTTTACCTAGCCAAAAACCCAAACCTAACCTAACTGAACTGAACACAGCCTGACATATCCTAACCTAACCTGTCCTAACCTAATCTTACCTCACCTAACCTTACTTCACCTAACCTTACCTTGCCTAACCTTACCTAACCCAACACAACCTAACTTAACCTATCCTAACCTAACCTGAACTAACTTTGCCTTACCCTAATCTACCCTCACCTAACCACCCTATCACCTATGTGATTGTCGCTATAGGAACTTGTTCCTGGCTTGAACCTAACCACAGCAAATGACGTATATTTTACGACATGTTTAATTTCTTACCTGTTCTATTTAGATTCCGTGCATGATTGTGGCCGGAGTTCGCATCTCCAACACTCATTGAACGTGTTGATGGTGTTGGAAATGCGAACTCCGGCCTAAATACTCCTAACATCAATAACCTGGGTGTCGGTTTTCCTCAATCAAAGTAAACAGTGCAAAAAGTTTAAATACTTAGTCGATGGTTGCAAAAAACACAGCTTCAAAACTTCTTATGGTACCAGTTTCTCAACTTACTAGTCGCATTTGCGAGCGCTGCCTACTCGGGCTACTCCAGAGTCCAGGACACCGATGGTCATCATATGTCGTAATACGGCTTGAGCGAAATTCTACTTGAAATCTTGTTTGACGGCAGATATCGAGGGAACGTCAGGGCGGGAGCGCAGCCGTGCACCACCAATTTTGTGCACCAATAAGCCCTGAATCGAACGCCTTTGATCTCTCCGGACATCCACCAATCAGCCGTGCACCACTCGGCTTTGTCCTCTTTGTCCTCCTCCGGCCTTGACCACCACCTGCCGTGCATCACCAGGCCGCGGATCGAATCTGACTTCCGGGCATCGTTAAATTACGTAATTTTACGTTCACAGCATCTGAGGTTAGGTTTCAGATAGCATAGTTCTGTTCCAAAATTTATCGTCCTTAGACTAGTGGCCGTTCGACCGAGGGCTGGTTCGACCCACGGCCTAGATACCTACGGTCATACGGACGGCTTAAAGTGTGAAGGCTACGTTCCGGAAGGCAGGAATCATGATGGTCCATTACATCCACGGCAGTTGTGGTCTTCGGCAGGCGACCCCGTCAGGGCCATGACTCATGAGCTCAGCACTCGGGGCCATTAAAAGGGAATTTTTGTTTTATTTTCATTGTAATTTGTATGAATTTCCTTCAATCCTATACGTTACCGAGTTAAAAGACCTTAAAAAGCAAAAAAAAAATTGCAGTTAAGGATAATCCCCTACGAGAAATCTGTATTGGAAGTTGTGCAGCCAAGTAACTAAGGGCTAGTAGTAAAGAGGTCATTAAATGCACCCTATGTGGATAATGACAATGACCAACTTTAGCTTTTGCTACAGGTATTATGGTTCTGACAACCATAATTGAATATAAACAATTCTTGAATAGACTTCAGGAAACTAAAAATTGTTGAGAACTGTTAATTGGCAAGTTATTTCGGCAAGGCAAAACTTGACCACTGCTGGCAGATACAAGATCAATACTGCTTGACTCATTTACCAACTTACCAAGTCACTCACAGTGACTCACGTACCACACCACACATTCACTCCACACCACACTATCACTCTTACCTTATGTCTTCTTCTTCTTTCGATGTTTTTTGGAGCTCAGGAAGCTCATCCATGTTGCCCCATGGCAGAGGGGTAGTAGGGTGAGGCAGAATGGCTGATGAGAATCCCAATGTTTGCCAAGGTCCAGCCCCCCCCCCCAGCAAAATACACAAGTACACAGATTTTAAATGAGTTCAATTATATGCGAAGAGTGAAGGAATGAGGCCAAAGCTTCAACAATTCTCAGCTGCACTGGCAGTGGGAAGGTGCCTCCCCCCAGGAGATTTTTCAAGTTAGGAGTTACGTTAAGTTGTGTTAGTACGTCAAATAGGTTAGCACGAGCAACAGCATGATTAGCACATTCCAACAGGAGATGGTCTATTGTTTCTATCATTCCACAGGAGCAGAGTGGGTCAGGAGCCAGGCCAAAACGAGCAAGGTGCGATCGGACTCCAGCGTGACCCGTACGTAACCGGGCTACAGCCGTCTCAACTACCCGACTAGGGTGCGAGGCCCATGGCCATGAGCCTAAGCTATCTTTAATCCGGGCAAGGAAAAGCCCTCTTCCCGACCTCCTCATTTTGTTGTGCCAAGATGTGCACCAGTCTAAAGAAATAGCGTTGTCTATCGACTTTACCAGCTCCTCCCGGCTTGAGGTGGTGACTGTGCGGTAGCGGAGGGCGTGGGCTTGTCTGGCTGCGAGGTCAGCAGCCTGGTTTCCAGGTATTCCACAGTGGCTGGGGATGAACTGAAGCACTATTACA